GGGGGGGTCGTATCAACTAGATAGTCATATATGTTGGAATTTCCATAAATAAAATAAGAATTGATCATTATTGAGGAAACTTGCCTCAGGTAGCCATCTGCTTCTGGAACTATCATAGTCATAACTTGACTGAGACCTGTTGTAGGAGCTCCTTGTCCTTGCATTTCTATAGCCACTGCGTCCTGTGATAGAAAGTGGCCTCGAAAATCTAGAAGATGCAACAGATTCCATTGCTGAGGGTCCACTTTCCTCTACAGTAGAAGCAAATCCGACTGGTGTATAGCTTAAACTTGGCCTATAAGGATTTGATCTCTGATTGTAGCCATTGCTACCATCAGCTGTTGAAGAAATTGTATTCCTGTTCTGAGTAAGGTTCGGGTGAAATACCCCATTGGACCCGACAGCATTATTGACAATACTGGGGGCTGCAACATACGGGTATGTCTCATGGTTAAAGCCGGGATCTGCAATCCCACGAACACAAAGACAATTAATATATTAAAAAAGACAATTGAATACATGAAATCTGCAACATTACACTAACCTGAAGGTCTTCCCTGGGGAGCTATAGGCATTTGTACATGGCTCATTTGTCCTTCCATAGTAACTCCAGGCAGATCTCCTGCTCCATGGAAATGGTGCGGCATGTTAGTTGATGAGTAAGCCACAGACGGATTAATTTCCACATGCACAGGATGTTGGTTATGCCGACTTCTCACATTCCTCTGAGAGTCATCTATAGCACTATAACCATGAGTAATGTTAGTGGGATCCTGAGGCCAGTACTGAGGCCTCATTGCAGGCTTTGGAAGTAGATGACTAGATGAGATGTGAAGGTTCGAAGAACTTCCAGTACTGTAGTATCCGCTAGTGTTCTCTCCAGTTAAAGTTGAAGGCATAGTTGGGTGTTTCCTTTTAAAGGCTGACCTTCCAATCTCCATTTGGGGATTAACCATGCTACTTCCATGATGACTGAAGCAAGGTGGTGGAAAGTACTGGACTTGATCTGGTGGAAACCGACTGGAGCTGGCAGCGAATGAAGGATGCGGATATGGATCATGCAACAGTTCAGGATTTGATGTGTAATTTGAAAAACTAGATGAAGGGTAGTCATTTGGCCTCAACATTGTTGTGCTTGCAGCACCATCCGCTGGGAGCACAAAAGAAGCATTTCCTGCACCTCGCGAATTGATAATAAGGCCCAAGTTTCTACTTATTCAATGCTGAAACCTGAGTAATATTGCTACAGTAAAGGAACTATGGTGGTAAAGTATAATACCCAAGCGCATGTGAGAGTCAGAGTGGTGATGGCTCCAGACTTGATCAGGATCCCTTGTCGGAAATTGAGATGCATTAAAAAAGTTCCTCTGAGACATTGCTAACTGTTTCCACTCTTCAAAAGAGCACAAAATCTGCCCCAAAAACAGATTACTATCAGCTTTCTCATATCGATTAACCTTCTGGGTAACCGTTGTATAGAACAAGCAAGGAGAGAAGCAAAAATTTCCAAGGTACTTTTTCTTTAATGGCAATGCATATAATTCTCAATGTTGTCATAAAGAGTAGCAACGACAAGATTTACTCCAAAGCTACATTTAGCTCCTGCAGGGATAACAGTTTCCTTCCAATTTCAGTTTGAAAAACACATTCTGTGTCTCAATGTAACATCTATAACCCTCTCAGCATTTAACAAGGGCTAGCCTACTCATGATCCAACATTGCAACTTGTAGACAAGTTTCAACTTATTTTAGAAGCAGAACTGTATCAAAATAGCTATTGTCACCATAGTTAGTTTCTAAATTGCGTTTGCTGAGTGTACGAGTTAAGGCTAACTGTACATCTGTTTTGCACGTCCTTACAGAACTGCATCAAAATAGCTACTGTCACTATATGATTCACGTGGAGCTTACCATTGCTTCTTCCAGTATAATTATACATCTGTTTTGCATGTCAAAATGTGATTCCTCTTAGAAATGTTAAGGGTAATCAGTTACAGAGATGTATATATAGGCAATACAATAAGTAGGTTCTAAACACTAAATTTGTAATGCTCTTCTCACGTTTGCTTCCCGAAACTAAAAGGAGTTGCACAAGAATCTAACTTCAACCATGTTCCGCTGATAATGTGCACTTCAAAAAACAGCACAAAATGTAAGCGGAAAATTGATGAAAGCATTGAAATCTTGTACAACTGAAATTGTTCTGCTGGGAATGTGCAGTACATAGACTTCACCAGAGGATCGGTCAAAATATATCCATCCAACCATCAAAGAATTAGTTATAGCAGTATGCGGCCCCATGTACAAATGAAACTTTATTATTCAGTATATAGGAAAGGGCTGGAGAAGTATTCAAAATTTTGGACAACAACAATATTAACATGGCAATACATGTAAACTCTGATGATCAGAACATAGATTTCATTTAGCATTAAAAGCGAAGATCTAGGAAATTTATAGAAAAGATTAACATACTAACCATCAACGCATGACAGCAGGTTCTCTAAAACAAACTGTTGTGGCAACTTGGTAGTCAGAACATATAAACAAAAAACAAAGATGCCTATACACCGCTAATTCGTATAAGATGTTCCCCATAAAAAAGAACGCAAAGGGGATTAGAGTGCCCTTGAACTTTTAAAAAGGGAATTGAAATATTCCATTAAACTTTTCCACAGTTAGCGTTTAAAAAGAGTAATATTACATGCGCGAATTCTTTTTGGAGTTCTTACTACTGTCATTTTTAAATAATAATGAACTTAGTATTTATAAATATGAACAAAAAAACCAGTGGATAGGCAAATTTATGCATAACCCTATGTACTTTATGTTCTATTGTGTAATGTGCCAGGTCACTAAGTATAAAGCAATTAACAAGATCACAGTTCTTAAAATAGGCAATGTCAGGATTAAGGAACGCCAAAATATGGAAAACAACTGTGAGCAGAAACCGAGTACTGCAATTTGTCAGCAACAGCTAGCAGATACAATCAAAACTGCCACCTTACAATAATGTATCACTATTCAGTTAATTTGTTTATGAAATAAATCTGGTGGAAAAACACTCTATAAGCATAATCTAGGGAGGAAGACTGCTACATTGGTAGCTGAATCCATGCGTGACAAAATGAGTTGGGAGGAACTCTAGACACGCTTAGTCCAAATCAGGAGAGAGAAGACTGCGGAAGAGCTAGACTCCTAACACACGGAACAGGCCCGCCTCAGACACATCAAGCTATGTTGCTCTTAAGCAATTGCTGGATATACTTACATTTTTTTAGCTGAATTGCACGTATCAGTGTAGACCTAGTAACCAGACTACCAATAAAATAAGCCAATATGGAAAAAGTGTAATATATTTCATACTTAATAATTTGTTTGTATTCATTATTTTTCAGTCACATTCACAACTCTGTTATCCAGCATACAATCAGGTATAGACCAGTATACTTTTATTAAACCAGAACGAAGAGACATTACGTGACCATTAATTCGCATAATTAACTTTAGGGGCGGATCACAATTGCTTCTTAGCACCACAAAAGGATCATAATCATAATTCTTCTCTACAATCAACAGGGACACGATAGCTTAACAGGTTTTAAAAGACAGCCAGTTGGAGAAGTAAACAACATGGCCAATGATGTCAGTGATCACTATAGGTTAAACATAAGGCAGAATAAGAAGCAAAGACATGAACTCCAGAGAAGACAGCCAACAACTTCAAAACTACAAATTCCTACCTCTAAAATGAAGTAAAAGATTAGAGCACCAAACAGACCTTAAATTTGCAAAATCACAATGGCAAATATTACGTTATATGATTCAGATTGGCACAAATATTGTACCGTACACTGCCACTATAACTACGCTCTACATAGGACTGATAGATGCAAGCTGAACAACAAAATACCTGCTGGATCCATTGGTATAACGCCTAAATAGCCCTGGCTTGTCATGTAAACAGAAGAATGGCTGATCATGTGAACAGCAGAATCAAGATAATAACATCAAATTAACAATTTAGAAAAACTGCAGCTTGAGCTACAAGAACTGAAAGGAAAATAGTTCTCTGACCTTTCTTTGATAACTGCTGAAAATTTGTTCAATCACATAATTTTACTGCAGTTGAAAGCATAGGTCTTTGTATTTTCTTTTACAAGACTCCGGATCTCTTCCCTAAGCTTATTATGTATGCTATAAGAAGAGATAGCCAAGTTTTATATATTATACAAGGAGTAGATTGTGGATATAAAGGACCGGATATAGAAAGTTAGGAGAGTCGCAGCAGCTCTAGACGACCCAAAAAAAGTCACGGCCATGAAGAGGTAACTTCCCACATGCAATGTCCCCAGTAATCAGGGTAATATATCATCTCTCTCTCCAATAATATGTAGAGTTTTCTTCAAAACACCAATAACTTTAATTAATTTGAAAAATAAAAAACGTCCACCAAGAATGTTACATCTCCGTCCTTGTTCTCTCAGCATTTCATCATGGATAGAATTATCATTGAGAGAAAGAAATAAAAAAAGTCCTTGTAGACACTCCAAGAATATCAGGTGCAAGTATATGTTCACTCCATGACAAGCATAAGTGAACCCAAAAGAAGCCAAACCATCTAGCTTGCAATGCCAAGATATGTTTACAAGCTGAGCAGGACTAGAAAATGGATGCAACCTCGGAAAAAAACCTTCACGCATCCAAAACAACTTCTCCAAACTTAAGACTAAAACTAAATTTGCGGACATCAGATAAGTTTCACAAAGAACGCCCCAACAACCTCCAAGCATCATTATTTTTCCTTCCTGTGCACATGCACCATATACAATAAAGGAGGGATAGTTGTGAGAAGGCAAGAGTTCCTAGTGCAAAAGCTTTTTATCTCAAGTTCAATTGGCAACCCAACATCAACAGAAGTCAAGAGTTCTTGACAACAACTCTATGAATATATCACAGAATATCATTCACATGTATGGCAGCATTGTGAAAGATACTAAGTTATGCCTGATTTTTTCAGGTAGAAAATCCTTCTTTTCATAAAAGGTTTATATCTGTAGTTCTGTACATCAGAGAATTAACTCTAACAATCCTACCATTCCAGATGCTGAGACCAGGACAATGATTAACACCAAATTGGCATAGTTTCCATCTCAAAGACATTCTCTTGCGGTACTTAGTTCAAATACAAGCAAGATAGGATATAACGAACTTGGCTGACACCTCCAGACAAAGGCGGATATCTAGAGCCTCCAATTCCATCTGTTTGTACGCAATAAATTTTGATGAATAATCAAATTTTCAAAACAGAAGGCCTCTTCTCTATGGTCACCAATAAGGCCAATCAAGTGCCTGCAATACCATTTAAATTTCAGTTGAAACTCAGAAGAGAATTTTACCTGCTACCTACAACCTATCCTTCAAGAAAAGGATTTATCAGACTAGACTATAGAGTATATAATTATCCTGAAAACACTTTTACGTTTCTTTCTTTCTTTCTTTCTTTCTTTTTTTTTGGATAACCAAAGACAAAAGGATGAAAAATACCAGGAGCTAGATACTAGACTATTTTTAGTAGAATCTGAATGAAAGGCGATAAAAAAACGCGGACGGTTATTATAGATTTTGAATCAAATGGTAAGAGTGACAAACCAAATCAAAGTGGTAACAACCTGTTAAAAGTGACAAGCTTATAATCAAAAGGAAAGAAATTTGTTTACTGCCTTAATCCGATATGAAGATCCAATGCATAGGTCAACTTATACCAAACCACCTTGCCAGTTGAATACAGATTTGTTCCAATAATAAAAATAACAGGTCCTCATGGCTCCTTGTTCACCATTTTCTGGTATTTGTATATGAGATCCAAAGAAGTTTATAGTGAGAGTAACTTATAATGGAACACCTATGCACCTGCATATTAGCAACAATTAACTAATCTCTAATGATTAGAAAGCATATTATAAAAAGAAATAACCAGATGTAACTTTAAGAAACAGTAATGTAAGAAACAAGAGTGCATAAGTAAAAGGATGGTAAGAATATTATTAAAGTCTCAAGCTCACAGAAGAACCTTGAAATGTAGGAAACAACACTGGTACATATATATAGATGCGTATAGGGGGAAAAAATCATACGCATATAGATGCTCACTGGATCAAAGTGATGATCATTTCTTTTACGTGAAAAAGTCTTTTGTATTAGTAATATGTTCGAGTAGCCATTTCTCTATTATAAGTGCAGATATCATGAATTTTGTAGAATATGAAGAAAACTGTAGCTTTATATTAGAAAGAAACCATGGTGAGTGACACTGTTGTGTGTGAAGAGCAAATAGGAGTTACCAAAAAACACAGATAATACAACGTAATCCATACCTCTTGTTAAATGCTTCAGATATAGTCAGGGAAGGTAATCTTGTACGATTGGAATCCAGAAATTAAATATCTTTCTGAAAAAGAATCAACCGCTGATACAAGAATATGATTACATAAATCCAAATGTATAAGAGCTTAAAATATACACAGTTTTCAAGTGATGCAATCTCAATGAGATGGAAAACATCTGAACAAACGGAAAAATATGGGGCGCATGGATAAAGGAGACAATACGCAAACAGGAGACACAGGTATTGAGTCAAGGGAAGAGAGAACAATGAACATATACCCGAAACAAAACTACAGAATAAATTAACAGTCAAGGACTCAGGGTTCATCCAAAGGGTTCGTTTTATATCTTCCATCTGTAATCTAAAAAAAGGGAGAAAAATGAAGATGATACTAACGCATAAAACAGTCAGTCTACCAGATTGCAATTATACTCGATAAAAAAAAGTAACGACAACTACTTTGCATGGCAAATACAGGACCACCATACAAAATGTAGACTTTGGGGTTGGAAATTAAGGTTACCTTCTCTCACATAGAGGTACCTCTTTTATATTAATGAACTCTTACAAATAGATCCTTACAACATTAAGTAATTAACTCAACACTCCCCCTCAAGATAGGCGATAGATATTAATCATCCTCATCTTATTACAAAAGATATCATATTCTCTAGAACCTAATTCTTTTGTTAAACAATCAACTAACTACTCTTCTGATTTCACATAGCTCATAGTCAGAACTCCTCTATTCAATTGCTCCTTGATAAAGAACCGATCAATCTCCACATGTTTGGTGCGATCATGCTGAACTGGATTGTTTGCTAAAGAACCGATCAATCTCCACATGTTTGGTGCGATCATGCTGAACTGGATTGTTTGCAATATTAATCGCTGATTTGTTGTCAACATGTTTGGTGCGATCATGCTGAACTGGATTGTTTGCAATATTAATCGCTGATTTGTTGTCACACCAAAATTGTAAGGAGTCTCTTCTAAATAGGCGCAACTCAGATAATATGTTTTTTGACCCACATCAATTCGTAGAGACTAACTGTCATAGCTTTGTACTCGGCCTCAGCTGTAGACTTAGCCACCACATCTTGCTTCTTGCTACGCCAAGATACGAGATTGCATCCAACAAATACACAATAGCCTGTAGTGGACCTACAATCATCCATACAACCCGCCCAATCAGCATAACAATAGCCTTCAATTCTCAGATGTCCAGAACTCCTGAACCATAGCCTCTTTCCTGGGCTTTCTTTAATATACCTAAGAATTCTGTGAACTGCTTCCATATGCTGCTCTCTGGAATCATGCATATATCTACTCACCACACTCATTGCATGAGTAATATCAGGTCTCGTATGACATAGATATATAAGTCGTCCAACTAATCTTTGATATTACTTTTTACTCACCGGATCACCACCCTCGACACACATCTTATAATTCAGCTCGATAGGAGTAGATGCACCTCTGCACCCCAACATCCCTGTTTCTGAGAGAAGATCCAGAGTATACTTCCGCTGAGAAAACACTATACCCTTTCGTGGCCTTACAATTTCAATTCCAATGAAGTACTTCAACTGCCCCAGATCTTTAACTTTAAATTTCTCTCCTAATTTCTTCTTCAACCGTAGGGTTTCCTCAGCATCATCTCCAGTGATTACAATATCATCAACATAGACCGTCAGGATAGTGATACGAGTTTTGGAGTGCCTGTAAAACACAGAATGATCCTCATTGCACTGTTTATACCCCATACCACAAACTGCCAACCTGAATTTGTCAAATCATGCCCTTGGAGACTGTTTTAACCCATACAAAGACTTCTTCAACTTGCACACCTTCCTAGCTACTTGAGAAGTAACGAAGCCTGGTGGAATATCCATATACACTACCTCCTGAAGATCTCCATGTAAAAAAGTATTTTTAACATCTAGCTGATGTAGTGGTCAATTAAAGTTGACAGCACATGACACCAACATTCTAACAATGCTCATCTTTGCTACTGGAGCAAATGTCTCGTCATAGTAGATGTCATATGCTTGGTTGTAGCCTTTAACAACCAATCTAGCATTGTATCTGTCGATCCTGTCCTCTGGAGTTTGCTTAACCGTATACACTCACTTACATCCAACAACACGTTTCCCAACTGGCAAAGGTACCAGCTCCCATGTGTCATTCTTCTTCAAGGCTTGAAGTTCCTCTTGCATGGCACTCAACCATCTAGGATCTTGCTTAGCTACATGCCAGTTGTTAGGTACAGACATTGAATGTAATGATACAATGAATGACTTATATGCAAGTGGAATGGGCGCGTATGAAATGCAATTCGCAATGTCAGCATCCCGACTACCAAACTTGCTGGAGGTTTTCCAGCATTGACTCTAAAGGTTTTGCAGGGCAAGACAGGAGTATTAGAAGTATCAAGGAATCGTTACCTCTCGACTCATGTGGAGAAGATGGAGAAGGTACTAGAGAGGAAGGACTTAGGACATCAACGTTTGTGGGTATTGGCACAGGCACAGGAGACGGCTCATGCTGCTGTTTCTGTCTCCTTGTGTATACTCTCAGCTCCCTCTGACCTTGACTGCCAACTCTTGAGTCGTCACTACTACTCGGCGATGTACCATCCTTGGTAACTCAAGAGGACATGGAATCCTCCCAACCACTATGTCATTCTCATTCTCATTCTCCCCCTCTCTACTAGCATCAATAAAGTCATCTCCAAACAAGGAACTCAACTCCGTCTTCTCCCTATTCAAACTATTCAAACTATTAAAAGATAAATACCCTATTCAAACTATCAAACTATCAAAAGATAAATGCCCTATTCGGCAATGTTGAAGCATTGCTTCTACCTTTGACCCTCCGCTAACAGCAGCAGCAATCATTACAGTCTCCCTATCCAAGTACCAAAGACCATCATGTCTGATGCCAGTCCCAATCCTCCACCCCGATTCCTTCTCCTGGAAGACACATATCTCGATCAAATAACATAGTGTAATTTAATTAATCAATGAGAGAGCTAACTGAGAGTAAGTTAACTGGAAACGACGGAACATGCAATACAGATGACAAGATAACAGATGAAGTACAATGGACCGAGCCAATACCCCTGATGGGTTGGGATGTCCCATCAGCAGTCTGAACTGTCTCAGGATGCATATGCTTACTCGGATAACATAATACAAACTCACTAGATGCTCCTGTGACATGCCTAGATGCACCTGAGTCTATGATCCAATCAACATGAGTTTTAGTGGATGCAAGTGCCTGAACCCGTGTACCTTTGTTCGCATGAGCATAACCAACAAAGTTACTAAAGTAGGTAGTGTTATCCAGATCCTGAGTGACTTGTCTCTTGCCCTTCGAACTCTCAGCCTGAAGCTTGAACTGATGTAGTTCCTCCAGTTCTATTATTTCAGCTCCAGTCATCCCAGCAGTAGTCTGAGACTCCTCTACCACAGCTAGGTGAACAACTCCTCGGCCTCCACGCCCCCTGCCTCCTCGACCTGCACGACCACCTCTCTGTCCTCTGCCCCCTCGGCTACCACCAGTATTACGGGGTTGAGAGCAAATGTAGCTGAGATGTCCTTTCTTTTCATAATTGTAGCACTCTCTATCATCTCTGATGTAAGCATCTGGAACCACCAATGTCGAGCGGACAACAGGTGAGGCCTCGTCTGTCATCACCTTCTGTCTGATCTTTTCTTGTTCCATCGATGCAATAGCCTCATCCAAGGAGGGGAGAGATGACAGGTGACACATTGTTGCCCACCTTCCCTCAAAGTTTAGGTTCAGACCCTTGAGAAAGCGAGCCACACGCCTGCGCTCAAGCTACTGCCTCCCCAAAAGAACATTTGCCGGGTTTTATAGTGATAACGGATCATAGTGATTCAAATCATGTTGGATATTCTTTGGAAAAGTCAATTTGACTTATTCTATACACATAATTTTCTCCAACTAATCCCACTAACACACGTATGTTTACTATTTCTTTCTCCACCTAACCTCCCTCAAATCCGAAGGTGAGCAGGATTTTCTCCATCTAATTCCCCACTAACATTTAACTAACATCCCTTCTCTTCCCTATAAATACCCTCTTGAGCTCTCTTAAGGTACACTTCCATTTTCCATTTGAGGGAGGTTAGGTGGAGAAAAAAATAGTCAACATACGTGGGTTAGTGGGGTTAGTTGGAAGAAATTGTGTGTATAGAATAAGTCAATTTGACTTTTCCAAAGAATATCCAACAAATCCGCCCATAAGTGACGTAGCTCTGTTGCATACTAGTGGATTGTCTTCTCCCATTGTGTGGTAGCATCAATCTTCTCCTCCACTTCCATCATCATCATCACACTCCCAGCTCCAGAGTACATCCCCTCTAATATCCTCCAGACATCAGCTGCACTTGAGATAGACTCCACCATCCCAATTATGGTTGGAGACACAGAAGTCAGCAACCAAGAAACCACCAGAGAATTAGTGTTACTCCATGTGTTCCACTCAGCACTCGCCTTATACTCCGGCTCAATGCACTCCCCTTCATATATTTTTCAAGTCCTTTGTTTCGAAGATTCAACAGTGCCCTCCGAGACCAACTTAGATAGTTTCTTGTCCACTCAAGCTTGATGTCATTAGGCAGCAACTTTATCCTCTGCATTACCTACGCCAACTCCGGTACGACCACGACTGACCTACTAGGATTCTCCTCTAGTTTGGTCTGAAATACTCCGACCACCCCCTGCAGAATCTCCTTCAATTCCTGACTAGTCACGGGTGTTCCCATCTTCACAGTTACTGTCCTTATCTCTGCTCGTTTTTGTTTCCCCTCAAAAAAAATTGAAACCACAGCAGATCTCCAGAATCTCCTTCAATTCCTGACTAGTCACGGGTGTTCCCATCTTCACAGTTATTGTCCTTATCTCTGCTCGTTTTTGTTTCCCCTCAAAAAAAATTAAAACCACAGCAGATCCGCTCAAAAAAAAATTTAAAAACCCCTCACTTTTCAAACTCCAAAAACTCCTTCAAACCACAGCAGATCCGCTCGCTCGGGTCTGAATCGGATGAGACTCCTCTCTCTGCAGATTTGGAATTTCATCGGAGATCATTCAAGAAGGCGGCGGATCATCATCGCTTCTCTGGACCAGCGGCATCACTACCACCAGAAGCGGCTCCACCAGCAGCAGCACCACCACCAGAAGCGGCTCCACCAGCAGCAGCACCACCTCCTTCTCTTCCTTCTTCTCCTTAGCTGGAGTAGTCTTTGGAGCAGCAACACCACCACCACCACCAGCGGCAAGGGGTAGAGGAGGGCAAGGGCTCCAGCAGCAACAGGAAT